ATCGGTTCCCAAAGTCAGAAAACAAATTAGTATGTTCATGAAGCAGTCATAGACGAGGCATGAAGTGATATAAAATTGCTTAGGATCGGAAAAGCTTGGCCATGTGAGATATATACACCCCGAGTGCTATAATCATTAGTGTGAGGAAACGCGGGAAGATGTCAGTATACACCGCCTAGTGGGAGTTTTACCACAAGCTTGCTCTCCGAGATAGCATACTGTATGACTAGCCCAGCCCCTTTGAGAACGCACTTATGCTCATCATTGTATAGAAGCGCCAGAAAATGTACCTTTTGAATTTTCTTTGTTTGACTCGCCGCTAAGAACAAAATTTGTTTGAAGCCACTCGAGCCCAAGGCGAATGTCATTTTGATAGATCAAGCAACCGAATCTACAGAATCCTAGGATCTTTTGAAAAATTGTTTTTTGAATTGAAAACCTAAGATCCTTTGACCATATGTACCTTTAGGCCAGTGATCTGCATCGGAGGTTCATCTGACGTCGATCAAGAAAACCGAGGAGCGTTCCAAGAATGGCCACAAGTAGAATCCGCACGTCTTTCTTGTAAGCACGTCAGTCGCCCGACTACGTTGCAAGCCATTCCGCTCCATGTTGAAAAGGTAAGAAGCTAGTTCCACCCTTTGATACAGATTTCTGTCAACCCCCAGCAGAGTTTGGGAAAAACCTCTAACGATTTTATTTTTACTATCCAGGCTGTCAGAGAATGCATGTATGGTCGTCCTGGAGCAGTGTACCTCGACATGCCTGGCAATCTGGTTCTGTCCACAATAGAAGAGGACGAAATACCGTAAGAAAGATTTGTAAGCAAATCGTGTACAAGCGCTCTTTTGCAGAAAAGTGGCCAAAGTGCCTCTGCCACCACCAGTCAGCGTTCCACCTGTGGAAGTTGTGCGAAGAGCCGTTGAAACCATCAGACAGGCGCAAAGACCTCTTGTTATTGTCGGTAAAGGTACGGTAACCATTTCCTATATTAGAAGTATCTATAGCTTAAAGCACTTCTGGCTGATTTTGTGAGAGATCCAAACTTCGGCAACATGACATGCGTTAAAGCATATAACCGATATTTTTATTTTCCTTCATTCTGTTGGCTAAAGAAAGAAACCTTAACAAAATGATTTTTGCGAACAATCTTCAGGTGCGGCATGGTCGGAACGCGGTCCAACTATGGTCCAACAGTTTCTCACAAAGAGTGGACTACCATGGCTTGCAACTCCCGGTGGGAAAGGAGTTTGCTCCGATGCGCATCCACGGTATGAGGTTCCCCTCTTTTTAAAAAAGCGGTTTCTTCA